CTTGAGGACTGCTTATCCCCAACACCATACATGAAGGTAGCAAAAGTCTGACCTGCCAGTCCCATTTAGCAGCTACAATATAAAGTAGGAAAATGAAAACACGCACAGAACCCCCAAAACAAACATACTAGCTTCAAGTTCATCCCACCTTTATTTCTACAGGATCGTTCCAGTGGAAATTGATAGGAGCCACACCAGGCACGTAGAAAGTATCCGTACCATGAAGCCACAACAGCAAGAGCAGCAAATACCTTAGCCTTTCCTGCAAAAAAAAAAAAGAAATATTAAAATACAAAACACACACCAGAACATCACTGGAGGAGGGCAAGGGCAACACCACTCATCCCAGACACTACAAAGTCCTTATAGTCAAGCAGTGAAACACCAGTTAATTCAGAAAAGCTGTTAGCTTTGTTCCATGGCTCTCGTTGAGCACCTTCCACTCTCTGCTTCCTCACATGCAATTAGGAGAGCGTTGGCTTTGCTCAGCTGCAAGACAGCCATGTTTATCTGTACTATGATTTGCCTAGCAGGTTACCAGAGTTATCATTAACCCTGATCTGGATTTCCATCAGCTCTGTGGGTCAGGAGCTGCCCTGCACCATTACCTGCTGCACTCGCATCACAGCTCACAGCACCCAAAGGGGCTGCTCACATCTACTCTCTTTCCAACTACAAACACTGTGATACATTTTAATTTTTAAACATAAAACGTACATAAAATATAAATGCTAGAGACTTGCCTGAAACGTGTTAAAACTAAGTTGCCAGCTACTATCTACTCCCATCACCACACCGTTACAAGGAAGATTTCCAGACCTATGCCAAGTTCAGCTTAATGTTGTTACAGCAGGCAGAGATCATCATCTGGAAAGCAACGGGGAAATGCTTCTTAGAATTCCTTGGACTTCAACAGTACCCTGAAGTGGGGTAGGTTTCATGTACTTCACTAAGTTTTGGCTTCTCTGATCATGTAAATGAACGCTGTGACTCTGAGCCATTAGGAAGAGATGTCCCAGGCAGGTGAGCACCAGAGGGAGTGCTGTGCCCCACAGCAGCCAGCAGCCTGTAGCACTTCTTGCTCCATTTGTCACCAAAACGCCTGACATCCGCTGCACAATATTACTTAGCAAAACCAAAACCACATTGGTGCAATCCTTGTTGTGACAGGCTTGATAAAAATAAGGATAGAGCCTTGGGAAGGCACTCAGGAGACACACAAGCACATAGAAGATGCATTGGTGACGACACCTATGGCAAAAGTCAGGCTCTTGGATATGGATGGTGATGACTCAAGACAGTACCAGGCAACAGAGAAGATGAGAGAGGGACTGTAGAAAGCATTGCCAGGAAAAATTATTTGGGGCAAGAAGTGGGAACACTTCTATGCAGCGGGTAGGATGGAGTTTCAAAAGAGACATTGGAAGGAAGTACGTGTGATGCCTGAAGCCTTCCTCATTAGGATCCTTGTTGCCATACTCATAGATCAGCCTCCTCTCCAGCCGAAGAGAGAAGCTTATCAATGCCAACACAGATAAGCACCAAAACATCTGCACAACTCCTGGGCCTGGCCAGGCAGTCTCTCATCTGGAAGATGCCTGCAGGACAGAACACCACCTGTGCAAGATCAAAATGAGCAGGAAAGAGCTCTGCTTATCACATCCCCTGGTGACGCACAAGCTTCCAGAAAAAGGAGATCCTGTCAGCATGGCCTCTACCACAAAGTTCTGAGCAGTTCAACTCTACGGCTCTGAGCATTTCAAAACACACACATGGGAAATCACCCTGGGGACAGCCTAGCATCTAACATGCTAGGTAAGCCCACAGCAAAACAGCAAGTGGTGCAACACAGAAGCACAACTCCAGCCCAGGCCATCAGCCCAGACCAGCATCAGGGAGCAGCTATGGTGCTGCAGGCAGAACCCCAGCACTGAGCAAGGCACAGAGCCTCAGTAGAGACACAGACATGGAACTCAGCACCTGAAGCCTGCAGTACTCCTAATGAAAGAATCTGAAAACATGATAATCCATTCCTGTAATTAACCTTAGAGTGAACCACTTAACTGAAAAAGTAAATTAACTGGAATCTTTCTTACAGTCATTCTAACACTGCATTTTTTGTCCTATGCACAGTGTAACACTACAACGTGATGGAAAGTAAAGCAACAGTAGTGGGGTGGCAAAGTCTGTGGCTGCAGCAAATGAAGACAAACCCAAATACAGCAGTTGTGAATACAGAAATGAAGGAAACAAACTGCTTACCTTTAGAAGACCTCAGGTATGCAGGGATCTCCAGTGAGATGCCCTCACCTCCACTGTCAGCCCTTAAACGAGGGCTACAAGGGGTGGATCCTGGCTCCGGCCCTTCCATCACTCAGATGCACTGCTTACACCTGAGCTCCCCTGGGTTGGCCCTGCCTTCCCACCAGGTGCTCCATCACTGCTTCAGGCCCTGACTTAGCACCTCCACGACACACAGCCACAAACAGAAGCTCGCACAAAAACCCTCTCCAAGAAGGTATTCCTGGACAACTATCACTAGGCTTAATGCATGCAAGCAATTCCAGGACACTGTTTCTTTGATTTATCTCATCTAGAAAGACTTGAACAACACTGCCTTTTCTTCTGCAAATTCTCAAAAGATTTTTGTGAAGGACCCTTCAAGCAAGAGCAATTCCCAACTCCCTGTGAGCACCACAATACAGCTCGTTCTGTATGGGTTCCCAGTTCAACTATGGAGTTGTGAACATAATGCAGTATTTTCTTAAAGAGAAGAAAACGTAGGAAATGAGAACAGCAGATAGCATATGAATGAGATGATGGAAATATGAAAAAAGGGCAGAAGATACACTGAACAGCAGAAATCAAAAGCTTTCAATCTTCACTTTTGAGGAAAGCCAGGGAGAGCAGCCTGTGCCTGGCCATTTGTGCAACCATTTGTCCAGCCAGATGCACAAAGCCCTGACCCCAATTACCATATTATTCCGAAGTTTCAGTGACCACAACCTTTAAACATGGTGTCAGAAAGGGAAGACAGAACACAGTGCTCTAACATGCTGCAAGAAACAAAACCCCACACACAACAAAGCACACCTGGGCTCTCCCCACATGCACTCACCAGGCAGCCACAGCATGAGCCCAGCATCTGCTCACCACCCTCCCTTGCCCATTGTGTCCTTGACAACTGCTTGCACAGCCTCACCCTTATCACACTCCTGCTCAGCCCGTGCTCGTACCCAGAGGAGTCGCTGAAAGCCTTTAGAAAAGAGACAAGCACTGCATTCACATCGATCTCAGAGAGCCCCTTTGAGACCAGGAGAGCTGTCAGCAGCCTTCACTGCCTTTCACAGGAGGCTACAAGGAAATGTTCCATCCCTGGAGGCATCCAAGGCCGGGTCAGACGGGGCCCTGGGCAGCATGATCTAGTGTTGGCAACCAGCCCAGGGCAGGGGGTTGGAACTGGATGATCATTAAGGTCCCCTCACACCTACGCCATTCTATGAAACCCCCAGGAGAACCATCTCCAACACTCCTCATTGCCTGGGAGGCAGCCAGCAGAGCACAGCACTGTTAAAACCAAATGAATGAGAGCCTCCACTCCCCACACAGCGTCCACCTGAGAATGGACTCAGTACAGCACACAGCCTCTGTGCACAGCCCTGCTCCTGCACTGCTTCACCAGGACACCGTCCTTCCGTGCTGGTGGGGAGGAAGGCTGCTGTCATGCAAAACCAGTGAGTGCCTCACCCCAGTGTGTTTCCTCCCGCTCATGGGGGCCCTGATGCTCACTCACATCGGTGGATTCCCACCAGGAACAGCTCCGACGACTTAGGGAATAATTCAATCGTTAAAATATAACTGCAAAATTGGGAAGGAGGGGAAGGGAAGGGAAGAGAAGGGAAGGAGGGGAAGGAAGGACCCAGCCAGCATCAGCCACTGTCGAGCACTCAGGATGGCGCAGACGACCGACCCGCAGCGGGCAGCTGCCAGGACGGCACCGGACCGCAGGGTTGGAGCACCGGACCCGGCTCGGCCCGTGACGAAGCGCCCGCCGCCCTCTGCCCTCCGCAGCCGACATCGCCCCGCAGGGCCGCGGGGCCACCCCGGGAGGCGGCGAGGCCGCAGCCGGACTCGGAGCACCGTCCCCGGCCCGGAGAGCCCGCGAGGCCGAGGAGCCGTCAGACTACGAGCGGTGTCGGTGCCGCTCCCGCCCGACCCTGGCCCGCCGGACGGAACCCGCGCGGCCGCCCCGCACTCACCACCATCGCCGCCGCCGCCGCCGCCATCTTGGATCCACGTGTCGGCGCCGACGTCACCGGAAGCGGCGCGCGGTTGGCTGCGGGGCCCGTCGCCATGGCGACGGCGGCCTCGGCGCCCGGCGGCGGACTGCGCTCGGCCCGGCCCGGCTCTTCCTCCGACGGCAGCGCGGAACCCGGCACAGCGATGCCGACGGCGGGGCGGGGTCCGCCAATAAGGCGTTAGGGCTCGGAAACCTCGGGGCGGCGCTGAGGATGAGGGCGAGCCGCGCCGCCATCTTTACTGAGGGCAGCGGCCTTCGCGCTGAGGACGGGCGCGACGCCGCGGGCGCCATCTTGTGTGAGGGCATCGACGCCTTCGTCTCTCCCCGGCAGGCCCGGCCCGGCCCTGTGCAGCCGGCATGGCGGGGTGCTCCTGTTTCAGCCCGGTTGTACAGAACTGAGGTGATGCCACGGACAGGGCTGCGGCTGTGGGGTGGCGTAAATATTTTATTGACTACAAACAGAAGCGTCTTAAAGCCAGCAAACAGCGGTGTTTGTTTATGCGTGGAGGAAACAATGATCGCTGTCTCTCTGTTGTGAGAAGCAGGGGGCATCCGTACAAAAATAGTTCTCCCTCTCTTCTTCTTCTTCCCCAGGTGTCACATCGTTAAATACTAAGAAAACCAGAAGGATAAAATGAGCGTGCAAGGACAAAATGAGCATGTAAGGATAAAATGAGTGTGCAAGGACAAAGTGAGTGTGCAAGGACAAAATGAGTGTGCAAGGAACGTTCGTTGCTCGCCGTGCAAAGCCCTGCAGTGCTGCTGATGGCCCCAGAGAGGCTCAGCGATCCTCGTGGCTCCCTTCCATCCCACCGCGCTCTTTGGCTCTGCGATTGCATGCTGTGACTGAGGTGCAGTCAGCCCCGCTGTGCCTGCATTCCTCGCGCTCAGCAGGTGAAGCACCACGAGAAGTGGGACACCCAAAGGGAGCTGTGGTTCTGTGACACCTCCTCAGGGCCCCGGGGCAGGGATGAGATGAAGTGCTGCAGTGCTGTACCCAGAGACTCGAATAAACCACTCCTCTTGTGCCCCTTGTGCCCAGCCAGGCCACATCTGGAAGTTGTCATTTTCTGTACCAGGCTGGCAGATGAGGGAGGCACACATTAAACGCCACAAGCAGGGCAGGAAGGAGCAGGGTGCGTGTGGTGCTGCTGGGATGGTGTGCACAGTGCTCTCCTCTGCCTTCACCACGCTTTCTGCTCTATGCCTGCTGCTGGTACTGGCCCTCTGTCGCAGTAAAGAAATCCTCCAAAATGCTCTGCATGTACTCAAAGGTGGGACGGTCCTCTGGTTTGGTTTTCCAGCATCTCATCATGACATCGTAGAGCTCCTCAGGACAGCTTTCTGTGCGGGGCATGCGGTAGCCGTGCTCCAGAGCTCTGATCACCTCCGCGCTCGACATCCCTAGAGAAGTGGGGCAGAACATTTCAGGGGCTGTCACTGATTACTTTAAAAAGTAAAAAATACACAAAACTCAACCCCCATCCTTTGGGCAACGTCACTGTGGAGAGAAAGGACAGGTTGGAGGAGGAGGGGAAAGGGAGATCCTGCTCTTCTTCAAGGAAATGTGCCAACAACTGTGATGCCACATCCCTTGTCGCCTGCAGTTTTGTACCCCACTTGAGCAGATCAGATGGGAATTGTGATTGTTTTGTATGAATTCCATCTGCTGAGGCTTTAATGAGCCATTCTTCCCAGTGTCACTGATAAAAACAAGGTAGGGTTGATGGCAGAGTTGGTCCATCCCCCACAACTCTTTAAAGCCACTCCTTAGCCTTCATGGATGGCTTGTGACAATAGTTACTTTCCAGGTACAGTTGTTTTCCAATGAAAAAAGGCACCAGAGAAGCAATTAGCATATAATAGAGAACACTTCCTAATGACAATGATATACAGATTTTTTGAGCTTTCCCAAAAACACCTGGCCCAGCTATCAGCCCTGAATTGATGTTCTGCTTCCAAACAAGCTTTCCTGCAGGAAGCAGAAAAACAAAGGTAAGTGCTATAAACACAAATAATTGTGACCTTGAGATCTCTGAGCTCTGTTTCCAGTGTGAGATTCAAATTTCTTGCCGTTGCCTCTGTTTTTGGTGATCTAACTTCACGGAGAAGAAAATCCCATAGATGGGGCCCAGAACATGGAGCACATCTTTTGGAGCTGGCTTAGAGCAGGAGTTTCACCTCTGTACCTGGGTATGGGATGCGCCCGTAGGTAATGATCTCGGTCAGGAGGATCCCAAAGGACCAGACATCAGATTTTATAGTAAAAGATCCATAGTTGATTGCTTCTGGTGCAGTCCATTTAATGGGAAATTTGGCACCTGAACCAAGAGATCCAATGAGAAACATGAGCTAAAACCCAAATGCTGAAAATTTGGTAGTGAAATATGGGGAACAAGAAACAAACAGAACAGGAAGATGTGGAGCAATGCAAATGAGAGGGGCTTCTACTCATCTGTTCAATTGCAGTACATCTCTCCCTGGGTTCCTGCTGCCAAGGCTGCACATTGATGAGGGGCTCTAAGGGAATCCCACAGCCCTTCACCATCTCAGGAAGGGGCCAGACTCCCACAGCAGCTCTCGTACCTTCCCGAGCTACGTACTCATTGTCTTCAATGATCCTGGCCAGCCCAAAGTCTGCAATCTTGCACACCAGCATTGCTGACACGAGAATGTTGGCAGCTCTCAAGTCTCTGTGAATGTAGTTCCTCTTCTCAATAAAAGCCATTCCTTCTGCAATCTGCAAAAAGCAGAAAGACAGAAACGCAGGTCTGTTTGAAATAACACGAAACCCATAGAAGTGACTGTTGCTAGGAATGGAAGAAGCTGAACTGATTTTGTGAGCACACAGAAAGAAGGGCAGGAGGGGGCTGAGCTGTGGCAGGGCGTGGGACATCTGTGGGTGGTGGAAATGTGATCGAGGGCTGCGTGGGAAGCACTGCAGCGTAGGATTGTGAAAGAGGTTGGGGTGACCCAGCACTGCTCATTTATGGTTGTGTGAGAACAGCAGCAAGAACTGGCGTCCAGAGAGCTGGCATGCTCAGGAGCAAATGTCTGGGGATGCCCACAGGCCAAAGTGTGGCAGCTGCATCCATAGCCATGTAAATGTGCTAAGCAGTAAATCATTCTCCATTATGAGCAGACAAGAGAACAACCTCCAAATGCACAAACAGCTGCTGGAGAGAAGCGGGGATCTCCTCTTTGCTAAAAGGGCACCAAATGGAGAGGGTTTCCCTGGGGAGAATAAAAAGCCCTGAGATGGGTCTCTGGAGAGGGCTGTGAAGTCAGCCTGGAGGCAGGATAGTGCTGCTGACCCCAAAGATGGCCCCAGCTCCATCTTCTGAGCTCTCTTTGCTCAGTGACTGCACAGCTGTCGGCCCCTGAGCAGCACAGAGATGCACTGCTGTGTGCACAACCCAAACCCAACTTTGTGCTGAATTAGCCTGAGCTGGGATCCTAGCAGCACCTAGAAGGGGAAAGCACCAGAGCAGCCGGAGGGGAAGCACTCCCCTCCCAGTTACACCACAGTAAGATGCACAAAATACAGAAGTAAGCAGGCACTGCAAGAGTGGAAGGGTTATTTGCAGGGCCCCATGCGGCTTTGCTGGTTGTGACTAAGCAGCATCTCCAGCCAGGAGCCCAGCTACTGCCTGCTCACTGCCCGGTGCTGCACAGAGCACGATAGGCTCATAGGGATGTGCTTCAGAGCCAAAGATCTGCTCTGCACCTCCAAAGCCTGGGCTCCAATCCGAGCTTTGCTGTTGCTCAGGTTCCTCCATTCATCGAGGCGCCAAACTTGGCTCCAAGGTTGGCTGTTGGCCAGCAGCTGCAGGCGCTGCAAAAGCAGCAGTACCAGGATGGTGTCTGCACAAATGGTTGCAGATGCAAAGCTGGGTGGGTAAGAGCACACCCAGCTGTATTGCTGAAAATATCAGCTGAAAATATCCCTGAACCTCTTTTCACTGAGTCCCTCTTCTCTCCAGCTGCCTTCCCACAGCCCATGGCAACTCTCTGGCTGGAAGATGAATTTAAGCATAGCTTCTACCATAAACCTCCCCAAGTTGTTGCTCCTCCATAGGGAGTTGCTTGCTTACAGCTGAGGCTGTGCTACTCAGGGCCAGCACATCCTGGAGAAAGGTCTGCAAAAATCAGCAATAGAGAGCCAGCTCCAGCTCTTCACCCTACAAAGCAGAGCTGCAACATGGGCCCCCAGGACTGCGAACCCATGGGGCAGGAACTCAGGGCCAGCACTGGCAGTGCCTGGGCTTGCTGCAGATAGCGGGTTAATGGGGAGGAAGCAACTGCTTCTCCTTTTGTGCACATCTGCTCCCACAGTCTGCAGCACAACAAACCTCACTGCCCCATTCCTGCATCCCCTGTTCTGTGAGTCCTCGCCATGCACGGAGGTTCTGCAGCATTTCCCTTCCCTGGAAGCACGCTCTCAGTGCTCAGCCCTGGGCACCAAGCCTTGCACTCTGCTTTACAGCTCCTTGGCAGGGAGGAAGGGTAGGTCCCCAAAAGCCAGCCATGAGCTGTCAAGGGATTTAAGCCACTTAAGCTCAGTTTTGCTTTGCTAGCACTGAGAGATGGAATGGGAAGCTGAGGAAGATCTGTGCCCTGCTCACCTGCGCGGAAAAGTCGATCAGCTTTGGCAGTGGCTGCTTGTTGCCTTCCTCACTCTTCAGGAAGTCCAGCAGGCTCCCTGAGGGCAGAGCATGGCGCTCAGCCTGGCTGCAGCCCAACAACTCCCATGCTCACCCACTGGTGGCACAGGTCCCCTCCTGTCCCAATCTCTCCCTCTGCCAGGGCTGTCCCCACAACCCCCCAGCCCCCACCTCCTGCACCCTCATGTCCCACACCATGAGCCCAGCAGCACCTTTCTCCATAAACTCGGTGATGATGTATACGGGCTCCTCCCTGGTGACCACAGCGTGCAGTCTCACCAGCTTGTCGTGCTGCAGGCTCTTCATGAGGTTTGCCTCCTCCAGGAAGGCACTCACAGACATGCTGCCGGGTTTCATTGTCTTCACTGCCACCTTGGTGTGCTTGTTGTAGGTTGCTGCCGGGATACCAGCCCCACTCATCATCGTCCCACCATCCTTTCACCACTTCTCCCATCTCTCACCTTTCTCCCTTTGCCACCCTCACTCTCACCCATCCACACTTCTCCAAACTGCCCGGCTCCCAGCTTCTTCTCCAGCTTCAGCGACTCCCGAGGAATTTCCCAGGCATCTTTCTCCCAGGGCTTCTGGGGTCTGGGCACACTGCAAGGGTAGGTGAGCCTCCGGCACAGCCCATCACTCTGCCCTGCCAAAGAGCAGCAAGCGCAGTCAGCCAGGCTCCATGGTGTGTGGTTGTGGGGCAACGGCTGGTGTAAAACACCATTACTGCAGCATAGCACAGCTGAGCATTACCATGCAGCATGGCACAGCCAGGGCACCACCATGGGGACAGGCATTTCCCAGGCCCTGTGAGCATTTGGTGCCACCAACACCCCTGCCAGGCATTGTGGGGGGACGCTGAGTGGCCACGGTCTCAGTAGAAGCAATGTGCCAGGGCTCACCCTTATAGTGCTCCACCAGCTCCTGCAGTGTGTTGAAACTGCTGCGTGAGGAGATGTAGAAGCCACCACTGTCCAGTGTCCGGATTCTGTAGTGCTTGATGCTGCCTGCCTGCAGGCTGTCCCCATCCCGCACCGACAAGGAGTAGCAACCTGCTCAGGGATGGACAAGCTGTGCCATGGGGCAGCATCCCCTCGGCTCCTGGCTGAGCCACCAGCATGGCATCATCCCTGCCTGGCCCCAGCACATCCCCAGGCAGCAATGGCAGCCCTGTGGGGGCACATGCCCTGTCTCTTCATGTGGCTCAGGGCAGCATCATGGGCTCATGCAGGGATGCTTGCAGAAGGAGGGTGGAGCCCAGCTCCTGCCTGGCAGCAAAGCAGAGCCCCCAGGGTGTATTGAGCCTCTCTCCTGGTCAGGTGTACTGAAAGGAGGTCCTTCTGGAGCTGCCTCACCCCCTGGTACCTTTGGTCGTCTCACTGTCCCGAATCATGAAGGATCCCAATGTATTCCCGGGGCTGAGCAGCTGCCGCTCCGCATCCTTCCGGCTGATACCTTTGAAGAACCACCTGCAGCAGGAAATGAGCAAGCAACGACCACTGCTGGGAGCCAGGAAGCCAAGGCTGGCACAGGCTGGGGCTATTAGCCCAGGCACAGTGGGGACGTGGGGTATGACTGGAGATGACTACAATGGGAGTGCGTGGGACGCTCACTCTTCTGCCTCCAGTGAGTTAGCTCGGGCGACGAAGTTGCTGGGGATGAAGCCCTTGCGCCCTGTCACCAGCGACCGTGCCTGCCACCACTCTCCCAGCCTGAGGACACAGACAGCCACGGGTCAGCACAGGGCACTGCCAGCACCCACGAGCCATAGGGACATGGGCAGGGGACACGTACTGCTCCAAGACCTGCAGTTGCTCCCCTTTCTGGAAGCTCAGGTCCCCAGAGTGCATCGCCTCATAGTCATACAGTGCCAGCACCACGTTGTCCCCTGAACCTGCAGTGAGAGTGGCTCCTGGGTGCCTGTCCCCATGTTGGGACCACGCACCACACACCCACGTGTCCCTGCTGCCAGGAAGCACAGAACCCCCACACCACCAGGTTTGGTTCCAGTGAGGACCCCACTGTGCTCCCCTCCCATCGCTGTGTGTACGCACCATCCGCCGGCGGGGGCACAGACACTCCATGTTCATCATGCTGCAAATGGGACAACAAACAGGAGAGTGTAATGATGGCATACATGAGACCTGTGGGGGTCTTAGACACTCGTCCAGCTCGCCTAGCACTGGCAGAGTGTCTCCTTCCTCAACACCTTCGTTTCTCTCTGACTGTCCACATTCCTTTATTCTCAGCAGTGTGGGCTGGGACATTGCCCACATTGCATTCCCATCTCAGTGCCCACCCCAGCCCTGTGCCCGCTGCCACCCACGTGGCTCCATGTCCCCTGTGCCCCCCAGGACACTGCAGCTCCCACTTACTTGCTTGCTGCCAGACGTAGGGTCCTTCTTATTGTGGCCTAACTGCATCTTCTCTTGGACACTATCTTCCTTTGACTTCACGCAACCCATCCTGTGTGTGTGTGAGGATGGGAGGGCGGTGGAGGGAAGAAGTTGCAACAGCACCAAAAGCCCCACACCCACAGTTCCCACTCTAGCACAGCTGGGTGTCACAGCCCTGCTCACACCAACAGGTTGGGTTCCACAAAAGCAAAAGCCAGACTCTCCCCCGAAGAAACGTCAGTAGGAAAATGTGCTGCCAGCAGCAGCGGTGCAGGGAAAGCCCCCAAAAGGCACTTCCCCCTGTCCGACAGAGACCTCAGTCCAGGGGAAAGGAGAAGGGTGCAGCAAAGGAGGAAGCAAAGGTCTGTGGCACTGTGGGGGACATGCATAGCATCACTTCAGTCCCACGGCTCTCGAGAGACAGTCACTGCCACCTCCCAGCCATGTCACCCTCACTTCTGGTCCTTTACAATGAGCCAGAGCCTTTGCCCACTGTGCTCTCCAGCAGAGCAGATGTGGCTGAGCACCTCACAGTCACCAACTCTCCACGTCTTGGGGCACTGTCCCATGCAGTGACCTGGTAGCAATGGGTATCCCCTGGTGCACCTCGTGTTCTGCAGCTCCTGTGGCTGAGCCCAAATGTGGGGACAGGAAGGGACACCACGGCATGACCTCCTCCCTCTCAGCACCCCAACATCAACTTCATTGGTATTGCCCCCCTGCCATCCCCAGACTTTGATCCCCTGGGGCCACCACCCCTAGCCGGGACAGGACAAGGGCCGAACACAGCACAGGGCAGCACTGCAGCAGCTCTGCTGCCTCAGGCAGGGATGGTGAAGGGCAGCCCTTTAGCGGGGGCTCTGAGTCCCACCTGACCCCGCTGCCCTGGGGGCTCTTCTCTCACCTTGGCTGCTGTCACGGGTCCCGGTCCCCGTCCCAAAGCCAAATCCACTGCTGCTGCCACTGCATTGAGCTCGGTGGATGTTGCTCCCTGTCCCGGTGTGGCCCCGCCTCACCCGGTATGGCTCCGCCCCTCTCCGGTACGACACTCCCTGTCCCACCCCTCAGTGACATCCCGGTCCTCAGCTCCGAGCAGCCCTGGTAGCCGCACAGCCATTCCCTCAGCCGCTGTGGGACGAGAGCAGCAAGGATGGGGTACAGTATGGGACCAGAGCATTGTCACTTCCCACCCAGTTCTGTGCCCCTAGGAGGAGTAAAGAGAAAACCCGAGTGCCTCACTTGCACAAGAATTTGCATACATTTTTTAGGGAAATAACTTGCTGCGGGCAGCCCTCACACTGCCTGCCCCGGTGCTGCCCCCTGCTCGGGGCTGTGGGGCTCCTGGGGGCTTTGCTTAGTCCAGGAACAGCCATCCCCACCACTCCCCATCCTGTAGGAAGGCGAACACTTTCCTGCAGTGCATCCAGACCCCCCAGCACAAGGAGGCTGTGGTTACCACCCTCCTATCCCAGCACAGCTGCACTGACCCCACTTTGCTGTGAGAGCACCGTCCTGTGCCAGCCCAGCTTGTCATAGCACTGAGGTGGGTGGGTGTCCCATCTGTGAGCTGCCCCTGTGCCCCAGCTCACCCCCTGCCCAACACGTTCCCTTTGCACAGAGGAAGAACCTGCTCCAATCCCCATCTTGTTCATTTAATTACAATCTGCAAAAATTACAGCACTTGGCACTGCTGGTGGGGGCTCCTCTAGACCAACACTGCCCTGAAATGCCATCAGCCCAGCCCAGGCCCTTCCATGGTGGCCTGTGCTTCCTTCACAGGTAGTTATCCTCCTCCTCCTCCTCCTCCTCCTCCTCCTCATCCCGTGCCAGTGCCTCAATGTCATTTGTGATGTTGGTGATCATGCGGTTGAAGGACTCAGACTCAGAGCGCAGGGACCAGCTGTCGTAGCTGCGCACAGCTGAGGCCGACGTGTTGCTCATGCTGCGCTTGATGCGGCCGAAGCTGTCGGTGAGGATGCCGCCCTCCCGGATGCCGATGCTCTCCAGGAAGGTCTCAAAGTACCCAATGTCTTGATCGGGGATGAAGGGTCTCATCCCTGGGACAAGTGCCACGATGTTTCATGGTGTGAGCGTGCCAACCCCATCTGGGGGCAGCAGGGTCCCACCAACCCCTTGGTGCACACCCAAAACCCCGTCCCCAAGGATGCACGGGTGGTGTAGCACAGTGACAGATCCATCACTCAGAGCTGCCCCAATCCCTGGGACACTCACCCAGCAGGAGGAACTTCCTCCGGTCCCCGTAGAGGCGTAGGAGCTCTGTGCAGTACTCCTGCACTGGAGTGCCCAGCCGGTACTCACGGAGCATCAGGGCAAACTGCTGAATCTCCTGGGGTGACAGCTTGTTGCGCAGCTGTGGGAAAACAGGGATGGGTCAGGGCTGGGGGTGGAGGTGCTGGAGAGGAGTGGGATCCCCTACCTGCTCCCAGCCCTCACCGTCACCATGTAGTCCTGCAGCTGCTCCAGCCCCACGCTGCTCTGGTCACTGCCACTGCAGGCAGTGGCCAGGCTGTGGTGGGACTGGTGGAAGGAGGGTGAGGATGTCCCGCTATAATATGCCTCAAATGTCTCGTGGGAACCATTGCTGCTGGAGGACAGGGCAGGGGGGGTCAGTGGGTGCTGGCACTGCTCATGCACAGCACCCATCAGGCAGGGCAGCAAGGAGGTGCACCTGCCCTGGAGCTGAGAACTCACAAGGAGCTGCAGCAGCTGTAGTCAGCGTCGTAGCCATACGTCCCATCTGTGCGGCAGCTCTCACCTGGGGAGGGAAAGCTGAGCTCAGAGAGCCAGGGTGTGAACCCCCATACTGTGCTCATGCCCTTCAGCCCTGTGTCACCCCACTTAAGGCTCCCACACCCGCTTCCATCCACTCACTTCTGCTGGAGAGCCAGGGCCGCGTGGGTGTGGAGGTGTAGTGGTACCCGGCACGGTCCACACATTCGATGCTCTGATCACCATAAATGATCTGGAAGACCTGGCAGATGAGCGCGCAGGACTCCTCGGCTGCATCCTGCAGAGGGTCAGAGGGGATGGGGAGGTGGGAGCATGCCGGGAAGGGAACCGAGTGCCGGGAACCCGCGGGTGCTCACCCTGTTGGGCACAGCGAGGATGACGAGGTTGGAATATGCGTCGGGGCACGGCTCCTGGGGGTCCAGCGGGTTGCCACCGGGGTGCCGTCGCTCCCAGCTGCCGAAGCCGGTGCCGCGTTCCCAGCTTCCACCCGCAGTGCCGATCCGCCGCCGCTCCCAGCTGCCGCCGCACGGCTGCCTCCTCTCCCAGCTGCCCGACGGCCGCCCGCGCTGCCGGCGCTCCCAGCTGCCGCCCCTCCGCCGCTCCAGGCTGCCGCCCTGCCGGCCCTCCTGCCCGCCCCGAGCCGCACGCCAGTCCAGGCTGCAGATGGTGTGCCGCCGCTCCATCGCACCTCCCAGTCGCCCCGGCTCCGGCCAAGAGCTCCCCGAGCGCTTCTCAGCCGGGGGCACCTCCAGCACCGGGGCCGCTTCGGGATATGCGCCAGCGGGGACTGGGTCCACTCCCAGGCCTGGAGGCAGCGAGGAGGGTCGGGGCATCAGACTGGGGACGCCAACTCTCAGACCTGCCCCATCCCACTGATTGGGCGTGTGGAGAGCTTAGGGATGCACCCCATGCCCAGTCTGGTGCCCAGCCCCCTCCCCTGGAGCCTGGCTGTGGCTTACTGCTGAGCACCAGAACCCGTTCCCTCATGTGAGCTGGATGCAGTGGGGGCGGGGGGCAGTTTCTGCATCCTCTCCTGCTGCCATTAAGTGCAGCTGGGGCTGGGGGAACAGCTGGGAGCTGTCTGCAGGAGCAACAGGAGCGGTGGGCAGCTGCTGCACGTAGTGATGCCCTGTCAGAAGATGGAGCCGGCTCCTCCCCATTGCATGAGGGTGCCAGGTGCTTGGGACCAGCTGTATTGCAGTGGGGTGCCTGCACCTGTTTTGAGGATGAGGAGGTGCAGGGCATCGTCACGCAGGTAGGAGGCTGCAGCAATCTCATGCGTGGGGATGCGCAGGATCAGCTCCTCGTTGTCACGCCAGGTGAGCAGCAGGCAACGGGCAGACAGGCTCAGGATGCTGTCCTGCTCCGGGGTCGTCTGCAGAGGCAGCTCCTTCAGCTGCTGAAGGTAAAGAACATTCTGGGGTGCGGGGACTTGATGCTACTGTGGGGTAGCACTGTGGGGTGACAAATGCAGTGTTGGGCACTCCCTTACCCTGGCAGTGTCCAGCAGCTGCAGCACCTCATCCCGGCTGGAGGGATTCAGCGAGGCCGTTACCCAGGTCAGGTGGCCCAAAAACTGGGGGGACAGAGCAAAGGGGTACTTTTGGGATGGAAAATCGGCCCCCCCGGGATGCAAGGGGAACACAACGCGGGGCCATGGGGAGCACACCTGCACCCCTCTGCCCTCCCTGTCTCTGGATGGAAGGGGACCAGAAACACTCGCAGTCCCTGCAGGTAACCCCCTACTTTACCTTCACCTCCTTCTCCACGTAGTCATGCAGCAGGATCTGGGGGTCGATCAGGTAATCGGGGGGGTACAGCGGCACCGAGTGCAGCGGCCGCCGGTAGACACTGCTGCGGAGAGCTGCCCTCCGTGCAGCCTTGGGGAACACCAGGCGCCGGATGGGCGACACGAAGCCCTGCGGGGTGCGGGCACACATCAGCGCAGCTCCTCCCTGCTGGATCCCCCTGAAACCTGGGGGGCTCAACCCCAGCACTGAGGGGAACCCCAAATCTCCCAGCCTTCGTCCCGGCACCCCGCCACCCAAAGAGCCATGGCCCCAGAACGCACACACCTTCTTCCCTTTCTTGGCCTCGCAGTCCATGGCGCTGCTGCCGTCCTTTCTGTCCAACGCCTTTGTTGTTTTCCTGTCGGAAACTCCACCAGAATGGCTCGGATGTGAGTTCCTGCCCCTCCGCGGGTGCTGGGCTGGACCGGGCTGGGATTGGGACTGACAGTGGAACTGGAGTTTGTCTGGGCTGGGCCTGAGACCAGAACTGATATGGGATTGGGACTGAGCTGGGACTGGAACTGGGACTGGGACTGGGACTGGGATTGAGACCAGAACTGGTATGAGACTGGGATGGAACTGAGACTGGGACTGGGGCAAGACAGTGACTGTGAGTGGTATGGGGCTGGGACTAGAAGTGGCCCTGGGCTGGGACTGGGTCAGGACCAGGTCCAGAACAAGAGGTGCTTGTGCACTGTGCAGCAGATCAGCCCCTTCCCCTCACTACCACGGGGATCCCAAGGACCCCTGTCTGCCCCCATCCTGGCATGGAGGAGGACTCCATCTCGAGGCCACACAACAGTGCCCAAAGCTCTCTCTCTAGGGCAGCCCATGGACCCCTGCTTTGGGACAGGGGGTCAGATGATGAATAGGCCCCCCAGCATGAAGGAGGTTGGACTGGGATCTCTGGCGACAGGGCTGTGTCCAGCAGTTTCCTCCCCAGCACATCACATCCTGCCCACACACCCCTTCCCTGCCAGAAGCGGCGGGGCTGAGGGCTCCAGGCACGTGGCTCATCCACAGCTGTTCCCAAATATCCCCAGCATCCTGGGAGCTCCACTTCAAGGCCCTGAGCCTGGCAGCATGGTGGGGACTGGGGAGAGCCAGAGGAGCCAGCAAGGAAAAGGCTTTGGCAGACAGTGCTTATTGAAATGAATTTAATATCTCATGTTGCAGCAAAATTAAAAATATACAAAAAGTTTGTGGTATACAAAAAAGTCTCGGTCAGACCCCGGTCTCTCGCTCATCCCCTGCCCGTGCCAAGGGTCCCAGAGAAGAAGGTGGCACACAGAGTATTTACAGTACATGACAGCCGGGCTCCCAGGTCCCAAGCACCGGGGGGGGATGTGGCTGAGACCCTCAGTCCCTGCTGGGGAGAAACAGCCCCAGCCCAGAGCAGCGGGGCCTGGTCCTGGTCTGAGCTGCATCCCCCATTCCCTGAACTTGGGGTGGTCCCGCTGTCCCTGCCAGGACTGAGGCCTCTCAGAGCTTCCCCTTCCCCAGCTCAGCCCCAGCTCGAGCCCTCTTGGTGCGATCCCAGCAAGTGCTGCTGTCCTGACACTGCTGCCATCATCACTGCTTCCAGCCAGGCTTGATTCCCCTGGCAATGCCCATTCAGCCCGGCTGGAGTAGGGCTGGGGAGCCACTGGGCTCGGGGGCCATGAGGACAAAGCAGTGGAGTGGCCACATGCCATCCCACATGGCCCCGCACCGCAGCCTCTGCCCTGATCCCGACATGGGAGCAGCCCGGGTCTGAGGGTACCGTGGCATGAGTGCATAGAAAAGAGTCCCTATGACCTGTGCCCCCAGGTAGGGCACGGGCTGCACCTCAGCCCAGGCGGCGTGGCTCCACATGGCGGTCACAGGCAGAGGGCTGCAGCATCCAGCACCAGCAAGGCACTGGTGTGGCAACAGCATGGCACCAGCACAGAAATTACTTGGTGGCTGGGAGGCTCCAAGCTGCTGGCACCCGGCTGCCCCATGCCCAGCTGGCTCCCATCTTCCATTACACTTCCCTGAGGATAAGGGCTGCCTCTTCTGCCAGGACCCGGCTGGGGCTGTCCTGGGGCTCGGTGGGACAGAGTGGGATTTTTTGCCCATTCCTAGTGGTAGAGGAGGAGTGAGGGTCGCGGGGGGGCCCAGCCCGCTGCCCAGACCCAGCTCTGCTCTGTGCCCTCCTCCAGAAAGGTTCCGAGGCGTTCAGATAGCACCAGTTAGCACCAGTGACCCCACGTGGCCCACCCCAGCCTGCACTCATCCCTCGAGCTAAGGAGAAATGGGAAACAAAAACAATGCAGCCCGATGGGCACCTCCCAGCACCATGGGACACCACAGGAACTCCGGGGCTGGAGGAAGGCACCGGAGCTGTGGGGGGCTCTGGGTGGCATGTGTGTCCAGGGGACAGCAGATCTGCCCTGTGAACCCAGCTGCAAACACACACACACACACACACACACAGACATGGGGCACAAACACAAGGTGGGGGTACATTCAGCACAGCCCTTAGGGCAGGGGGCACTGCGGGCTGGGACCAAGCCACGCACACATTCAAATGCAGAGCCCAGGGCAGCCCTGCTCCTCTGGGGAGGAAGTAGGGGGCTGGGGGCATCATCCTGGCTCAGGTTCCCACTGCTGAGCTGGGGGGGCTGATGCTGATGGGGGGTGGATGGAGACGCTCCCAGCTGGAAAATGGAGGGGAGAATGAATGAGGGTGAATGTGACTTTGGGGAGCCCCCGGGCACATCACCACTGCCTTGCACAGTCCTCCCGGTGCCAGCCAGGCCCTGCCCCACCAGCGTCAGTGGAGGTAGAAAATGTCACACAGAATGTCACCCGTCTGGTGAAAACCTACACAATGCAATGAAGTGGTTCCCAGGAGGGCAGGAGGGAGTGGAGAGGTGCTGTGCCTCCCACCACTGGCCTCAGGGCCAGGATATCTGCCCCATGCATGGAGCAGTGACCCCAGGGGTGGGGGAACAGCTGGAGCATGGGTGGGGGAATTGAGGCTGAGATGAAGGAGAATAAGGGGGGGGCTGCCCCGGCCCTATGCCACGCACTACTTGGGTCTGACAGGAGCCCCAGACTCCAGTACAGCCCCACTCCAGACCCCTCAGCCCCACGGCTCTCCCCCAGCACCCACATTCTCCACATTCCCCTGTGCTATGTCCCGCTGTGCCCAAAGCCCCTCACCAAACGGGCTGCTTCCGCGCACCCCGCAGCCCCCACCCTGTGCCACCAACCTGGCGGCTCAGGCACAGGTGAGGTATTTTGGCAAGGACGAGCCCCCGGCGCACGGCCGGCCCGTGGGGGGATAGCACCAAGGGACCTCACTGGCCCCTGCCCGCGGGGCGCTCGGCACGGCCACCCCTAAGTGCCGGCAAACCAAAAAGAAAGGCAAAACGCTGCGAAGAGACGGAACAGCCCGGCCGGGGACACCCCTGCCCTACACGGTGGTCTCATACTCCAGGAGCTCCTGGGACACTCCTGCTGTGCGGTACTGCAGGCGCGGGGTGCTGGGCGAGGCATACTCCAGCGCCAGGATGGTCTTTCGCAGGCGCCGGTCGATGAAATGGGCATCCCAGGCCGGGTACTTCTTCCTGGGGAGGTCTATGCGGATGACGGGTCCCTCTGTCCGTGGGGTGCGGGCGGCTGGTGGCGTTGGGGCGCAGGGCCGCACCTGGAAGACGGGCACGCAGCTGTCCCGCTCCCCCGGCGCCCCTTCCCGCTCCCCCCCTGTAGTCCGCGGCAGTGAGCGTGGGGGGCTGGTGACCACGTCCGCAGGGGAACTCGGCGCAGGGGGTGGCCGCTGTCGGAAAATGCAGCCCCCAGAGCTGGGGCCAAACATGGGACCGTTGGGGTGCAAGAGGCAGTAGTAGATGAACATGAAGAAGATGCCGAGGGCGAAGCTGGAGCTGACCACGCAGACGAGGATTAAGGCGTTGAATTCGGACATGGTCTTGCGGTTGTAGTGGAGGAACCAGAGGATGGTGAGAGCGGCGTTCTCCGACAGTGTGATGATGTAGTAGATGCACATACGGTAGCGGCTCCGTCCCTCCTTGACATTGAACCAACAGAAGATGTAGATGATGCCCACCACCATGTTGTAGATGATCTCCTCCCACTTGGACATGCAGAAGTCTGTCTCGCCCTGGATGATCCAGAAGGTCATGATGCACCAGTGGGTGACGATGAAGATGCCGAAGTAGAGCTGGAACACGGAGGCAAAGAGGGCAAAAGCGATGGCGCGGGCGGCAATGGTGAAGAGGTGCCACAAGATCTGCACCACAGCCCCCTTGTAGGACATGGGCATCTTGTCCTCCCGCGAGTCCCGCAGCACCTTCTGGTAGGAGGCAATCATCCATGCCAGGGAGACGAGTGAGGCCAAGGCTGAGAACCCTATAGGCACAGAGGGGTTGTGAGAATGGTGGGGGGACAAGGAGGGGATGCGGCCATGACTGGGCTGCAGCCCCCCGACCTCTCCCTACCACCCAGAAGCTCCCTACCCTGCAGTGCACTGATGTCATTCTGCTGCACCATGATGCTGAGCTGCAGCACCAGCTGCGGCGCGCTCTTCAGGAAGGTCTCCAGCAGCCGCAGCATGCTGATATCCGCGTTCTCAAACATCATCCTCCAGTAGAAGTGGCGGCGGCGGTGTTCAACCTGCCAGCGGCTCTGCAGCCCCAGGTACAGCGTGCGGAGGTACCTGCATGAGGGGGGAGCATTGAGAACAGCCCCCACCATGCTCACATCACACAGCTATGCCCTGTGGTGCTGCCATCCTGCTGCAGCATGGCACATCCCTCCTAACTGAGGCCATGGAGATCCTCATGCAGCAGCTGTGGGGCAGCAGGGATGCTGCACATGGTGCTGGTGCCAAGCCACTCCCACCCAGCCCTGTGCCCCCCTCTCCCTGGCACAGGGTCTCATTTCTTCCCCCAGCCACGACCCCACTCTTCATCCTCTGCACATTTCAGGTGTCCTGCTTGCAACCCATCACCGTGCCAGGCTGCTTCTCAAAGGGGATATTTTGGTCCTGGCTGGCTTGCAGCCCACGCTGCCTGCCCTGGGCAGAGGAAGGAGGGAGCAGGAGGACCAGCTGGTCGTGTGGGGTGCCCACAGGGAGCTACCGTGCCGGTGCTGCCTTGGCTCTTGGCAGTGCTGAGGGCCTGGGCACAACCATATGGTCCATGCTTGGGGTCAGTGGAGCCATGCGTGGCTCCGACGCACACAACACTGAGTCACTGGGAGCCCTCCCCACGGCACTGGGCCAACGAGGCTCAGGGAAATGCCGTGTCCTATGGAGGGAACACATGTACTGTGGAGGGGAAACAGGGATGGATGTGTCCAGGCTGCTCCACGCCGACTGCTCACAGGTTTGGTAGGAGAGAAGGGAGACAGATGAGTACGAAAACAGAAAGATTAAGCAAAAGGAAGTTAGACCATAAAGCTCCCTCCCAACCTAGTAAAAATGTCACACAAACTGATGGCCTTTATATCAGATCCATAAAATGCTGTCAGTCGACTCCATTAGCCCGTGAGCTCTGGGAGAAGCCCTGATCCCAGCACTTTCAGCTCATCCATCAGCAGGAGGAGGCAGAAGCCGGCCCAGTTCCCTCAGTTGCCGCGTCCCAGCGCATCCCCCATCAGTGGCCACTGCAGGTCTGGTGCAGGGGTGGGGGCTGCATGGCCTGGAGGTGGGGGGAGGCATCAGCTGGTGCCACCCAGGCCCCAAAGCCACCCTGCTGCCACCACCATCTGCTCCCACAGCATACAGGAGGGAAGGAAGGGACACCAACCGGACGGGGCTCCTGGTGATACTTGGCAGGGGTACGAGGTGTCAGTGCAGCACTGCCTGCAGCATCCTCCAAAGCTGCCTCCATCACCTTCCTGCCAGGCTCCATCACCCTTCTGCCCAGCTCCAGCCTCCCCTCTCCTGGCTCACATGAAACCAGGGCAGCCCAAGGGCCCTGCTGCAGCCGGGGCTCAGCCGGGCTGATTTCAGCCTTCCCATCTGGCTTCTCCCTCTCCACGTCCCTGCTCCGTATGGCTCCTTCTGCAGCCTCTCCTCTCTGGAGAAGAGCCCAGTGCCGGGTGGTGGCGGCCGCATCCTGCAGGGCTGTGCCATGAGC